TACAATCATGGATAATACAATGCCATCTGACGAGCAAAATGCAGGACAAAAACACGTTAAATGTACATCAGCAAACCAGTTTGACGTCAATATTATAGCTATATTAGAAGAGTGACATATTCTGAAAAATCTTCGTCTACCTATACTTCACTCTTACGAATGCATTTCCAATCACCTGCAAAATAAGCATAAGATATTTCTATTTACTTTTTTTTTCGATATATTCTTTCATGAAAGTTTCGTCAGAAATTATATAAAACTTCATATCACTTTTAAACTTCGAGCAAAGATAGTTTTTTTTATAAATCTCAACAAGTTTCAAATATATCAGTATATTGATCAAAATGGATAATCAAATAGCTTTTCGGAAAAATTACTGACTTAATAAAATCTTACTCATAATTTTTATCCTCTGAGATTGCATTACATACTTAAGATCATGTCCAGTTGTTGTAATCGTTCCTCTAGAGTACCAAAGAAGAAAGTACGTTTATGTGACGATTTGTTTGCATCCATATCGTTATTCATCTTTCAAATAATAAATATTAGTGTATTTTTATCATTTTTAGTTATCTATTGGCGCTGTTTGCACAAAAAAACTGAATTTTATTTCGTTTATTTATATATCACATTATTAATAAAAATAAATTTTTATTATCGTATGATCATTTGTACCATAATTACCAAGTCGATTTTTTGATTATATTTTTACTATCATCACTAGTACCACAATCACTATGGCGATTTTCACCATAGTTATTATTTGGTCATTTGTACCACAGTTACCATGGTCATTTTGACCATAATTGTTAAGTAGTCCTTTGGACCACAGTTACGATGGACATTTTAACCAAATGGTCATTTGTACCATAGTTACCACGGTCATTTTGACCATAGTTGTTATTTGGTCATTTGCACCATTGTTACTATGGCCATTTGAACCATATGGTCATTTGTACCATAGTTACCTAGTTAGTTTTGGGGAAAATGGCTATTTGTGCCAAAAAAACGGTCGTTTGTGCCAAAAAAATGGCCGTTTTGACCGCGTTACCGACAGACAGACAGACAGACACAGGTGAATTTCAGTTTCTAGACCCTAGCCTTTCAGTCTAGGGAATATAGCATTATTGTGAAATTATTGTAGATAAGCAGGGGTGGGAAGTGTGTTGACTTACTTGGTTTGAAATCATGTCGACGGTATGATGGATGTGGCCGTTTTCGACGTATTAATTCTGTTTTTGCTTTTGGATTATTTCGAGATGCCACTATCACCTTTACATGACTGACAGGTGTGTGTAGGAAAGTAGTTTGATAGGTTTCGCGTATATCGCGCTTGAGAGATCTCAATCTATTCTTGTATGTGTAATGTAGAAAGAGACATTGTTTAAACTTTTTGTTTTTGTCTTTTTTTTTGAGAATCGGGTTTTGTGGTAATGGTTTTTGTTGGTTGTCATCATCATAGCGTTCAATCTGTGAGAAGGCTATATCGAAAGCCACTTGTGATTGTCTAGTAGTAGGTGTTGGTGCAATTTTATTATATATAGCAATAAATTGACTTTCATTGCCGATCATCGGTAGGATGGAAGAATATGAATCGAATAGATTGTATTGATCGAAAAATTTTCGAAATTCACGGTTAATATATGTTGATGGATAACTAAAGATTGATTGGAGAAAGCAAAGTGTATTATGTATTTGATATATATGTTAGTTCGAGAAGCTTACCGGTTACACAATAACGTCAATCGTATGTTCCGTCGTTCCGTATTAAATGCTTCGAATGTTGATGAATACCGTATAGCACGTATTAGAGCAGCTCGAACAATATTTCGAAATGTATGACGAGGATGATCAGATGCAAAGGGTACCACATAAGGTTCAGCAGCTGGTTTATGATAGACCGATGTTGAAAGAATACCATTATTGTTGGTAAGAAGAACGTCAAGAAATGGGAGAGATTGACCAATTTTATATTCCAATTTAATATTTGGATGATGACAATTCAATTTGTTTAACAATTTTTCGAGTTCTTCTTGTGAGTCATTCCATGTAAAGAAAATATCATCAATATATCTAAAATGAGAAAAA